CAGGAAGCCGCCCTGGATCCACCTATGGCTGGTTTAGATCACGGGAGGGGGAGGAAATGAAACAGAGATTGGAAAGGAGGTAATACTTGCATCGAGGTGAAAATTTGGGTGAGAGATTACGAGTTATGTGGACTGTGATGCTAACCGAGAAATTAGATAGTGAGTGAAAGTTGGTAGGCTTCAAAGCTCTCTGATTTCTTGCTTTGCATCAAAAAGCCATAATCGAACAAACTAAGATTCAGATAATTAACAGAAAACATAACGATTAATGGAAAATAAAACAATGTTGCTGGCAGCAAAGCCACACTGAAGCACGAACAATGATCATACAGTAAGTAGCAAAAGAACGGCTAAACTCAAGTTTTACTTTCGAGTCACTTCAAAAACATTCGTACCTTTTAGATTTTTTATGCGTTTCTTGCAACTATGCAGTGCGGAAAACACATATTGACGACAGGTTGTCTCTGTGTGTGTCTGTGTGTGCGCAGGGCCTCTGTGCCGGTTTTTCATCTCGAGATCTACAAAAGCTACAGGGCTGAAACTTTGGGAACTTAAAATTTAGGGTAAACCGCTAACTGGCGAACCAGAAAAGCTAAAAAGCTGAAATTTTAAGGGGATATTTCCCGCCCACTTAAGTCTCATTGAGCTCAAATCCAGACTCCGGGCATGCGTGGTACCCATATATGTGCCCGCCAAAACTTTTTTCGGGTAATTCGCTAACTCGAGAATTTGAAAAGCTAGAAGGCATTAATTTTAAGGAAATGTTCCCCGTCCATGTAAGTCTCAATGAGCTCAGACTCAGCCCTCGGGTATGCGTGGTACACTACCCACGTAAGGGCCCGCCAAGTTTTTTTTTGGTAAGTCGCTAACTCGAGAATTTGAAAAGCTAGAAGGCTGGAATTTTAAGGGGATGTTTCCCGTCCAAGCAGGAATTAATGAGTTCAAACTTAGCCTCCGGATATGGGTCATTTCCGCGTATGGGCTGTGAAAGTTTTTTTCGAGTAAGTTGCTAACTCGGGAACCTGAGAAGCTAGAAGACTAGAATTTTGAAGGGATGTTTCTTGGCAGTCCTGGCGGCCAGTCTGAAATTCTTTTAGCTAGAAGCATCTGCAGGAAAAAACAGTGCTGTTAGCGACAAAAATCTGCGAGGAGCTATACAAAAAACGCATCGTCGCACGGGCAGCCCGTGTGTTGGCCAGCTACTTGAAGTCTGATATTCTCGTACGCAAGTATGCCAATGTTACCGTACTAACCACGATTCGTACTCTTCACAATGGTTTTAGTACGCTTGTGGGAGAGTATGCTTGCGCAGAACCTCTTCTAATAGGCTGCTTCTAGCAATAGACGGTTTTGAAAAATTGAACCTAGGCTGGAATGTACCAGGCTTGTCGGGCGAACGTGTGTTTCTGTACCGGGCTTGAAGCACTCAGGTCATTAACTGCATGAAGGGTTGCTGTTTTGCACCTACCTTTTGCGTTCATTAGCGTAAATCATCGTAAATATTGCATAAAGAAAATAATTTCCATTTAACGGTCGTTCTTTGAAAATTACCCACCTTTTCAGTGAGAAGTTTTCCCGCCAAACTATAACTGCCCGTACGTAAGAACCAGGCATACCTGGGCTGAGTTTGAATAGTGGGGTAAAAAGATTGGAATTATGTGTCATGTATAAAAGAACATTTCATAATGCAGTCTGTGTTTCATCCCTGAGCTGTATACACAGACCGAACAGTGCATGC